TCCTATGTAAAGAGTGGTGATCTCGAGAAAAATGTGCAGTGAGGACACTTAGCTGCGTAAGCCTCTCTGCAAGTGGGGACGTGTGGCGACGTGTCCCTTACTTACAGGGGTGACACCTCCCTGCCGTGTGTCCCTTACCTGCAATCCCAAGGTTACCTTGGCCGGGTCCCTCATCTGCAATTGTGAGATTTACAACCGGTTGTTTGTTTTTTGCCAGGGGCAGAGGCACACTTTTCTTTCTGGAGTGAAAGATTCCTCTGCCACATAGATATATACTGCGCGTTTACCCAGCACATGCATCACGCTTTTTAGCATGATCATCACTTCCAGCAACCCTCAGTGTTGTACAATGCTGCTGAGTTTATTTTATGGTTACAGAGCCCTGCAGATGTTGTTGAGTAACCCTGGAAGGGCACGGGCAGTGCTCACGATCATTCTTGCACCCTTCTTGTTCCCGTCAGGGTGTCCATGGTGCTTGTCAACTTGCCCTAAAATGCAGGCAGGCGTAGAGGAAAAAACTGATCTCACGTAATTCCGTTATCCGAAAGCTCCCCTGGATGGAGACGAGGTCCAGGGTGAGGCTTTGATGGATCCCACGTGCCCTTCCCAGTCCTCCTCTCCTAAAGGGGTTGCTGTGAAACCAGCGGGACTGGAGCCCACTGGGACAACTCATTTCTGCCAGAGGAGCACAGACCTATTTGCAGGGAGTCCTGATTAAAATCCCTTGCAGGTTCCGAGCTGCTCTCCCAAACACGCAGCATTGGCACTGGATGGAGCTGTGGACCAGACAGGTTTGGTCTGAGCCTGCACTGCTCAATATGTGAATATTTGGTGTATCCAGAAAGGACAGAAGTTGGCAAATGTGGACCCGGGTGCCCCTTCCTGCCTGGCTGTTCCAGCCCTTGGAGCGCACGTGAGCGCTCAGCACTCGGGTCCAGCTCCCTAAAAAGGGAATTAAAGGTCTGAACAATGGAGGAACTGGACAGGCAAATGGTTGGGATGCCAGCTGCAGAATAGCTAGTGGCATTCCATATCCCAGGATCGTGGAGGGTGTTGGCTGGCGCCGGGGATCGCTTTCCGAACAGGTGCTCGCCACTTGCCCCTGGCTGATTTTCCACCCGGGAATGCAAGGATGCACCCGCACCTGTCCCGCTGCAGCGCCRGCACGGGCCTGGCCTGAAACTTTGCAGAACTGCTGCATTAAATTGAATCCAGGGAGTGTTTATCCGCTCTGGGGGACACCAGGAGCCACTGAGTGCGTAGAAATGACCGTGTTTGTGACACCCAGATCCGTCACCGCTGCGCCAGGCACCTTTCCTGCACGCTGTGGGGACAACAGCATGTCCATGGTTTGCTCCTGCTCGAGAAGGGTCAGCTCTTGTCCCCAAGCTTATGCTATAGGATAGGAAAATGTTATCCTAATTTGGGCAGGAGAAGAGCAGCTTTTCTATTAAGTGCCTGGGGTTGCTGTCTCCCTCTTTGCCTCTCAGTTAGGGCTCCCATATTCCTGATCAGGTTTTCAGGCCACAGCTGCCTTCTTTTGCAGAAAAAAAAAGGTCTTTATTTTCTCAAAGGCTCCTTTTTTTTTCCTCATGACAAAAGAAACAAGCTGCCTACTGTATATCACAGTCTAAAAACAGTTTAAGCTAAGCCATTTTCAGCTCTTACCCAAAGCTAGCTATTCTAGAAAATAGGTCAAATCCTATATAGCTACCTGCCTTCACCACTCTTTGTGTGGTGACTGTTTTATCAATTAATCTCGTTTTAAGAGACTTCACAGGCATTTGCATCAATGCCTTGAGTAGTTAATTAAGCTGAAGAAGATGGAAACGAGTAGAAGAATTGGAAGATGAGATTTGGCAAAGGGGAGGTAGCAACGTGCTRTGTTGAAGGAAGAGCTGTTGGGTTGGAGGGAGATCCTGGTGGTGGTTCTAAGGTGGCACAAATGCTAAGAGATGTGGTCATGAAAGTCGCTGGTGACACAAAGCTGGAGAAGATATCGCTGCTGAAGAGGGTGGCAGGTAACCATGAAGGCTGCAGTAGCAGAAAAAGGATGAAATTCGGTGTTTCTTAACCATACATCTGGGGACTCATTGGTTGGGAGGAGTGAAGGAAGGTTTGGGATGTCTCGGTTGGAGACAGACGTCTGTGAAAGACTAACACGAGTCATTCCTTAAAAAAAAAGGGAAATGCAATCCTGGCAGTTAGTGCAGCTGTTATTTCCAGTGAAGAAAAAATGCAGTTCGCCCCTAAGGAATCCTGGAAGTCTGCAGTTGTTTTAGCTGAAGGTTTTGTYGTTCTTGCTGTCCTTTGGCCCCGTGTTGTCCAGGTCCAGGGTGCAATTCTGAGAGGGAAATGGTGAATGAGAGCAGTGCAGAATATACAGGGAGGGACTGTGTTGTGCAGAGCGGGCCTGGGCTGCGGGAAGACGGACAACAGAACCGCTACAAAAAGCTGTTTCGGAGAGTTGGAAATGGTGAGGGGACGGATAGGGCCAAAGGAAAAGGCCACCATCCTCCTTGCCTCCGTGCAGAGCTGCTCGCGAGGGGAAGCGGGGCCCTTGGGCTGCGGTTCCCTCCTCGACGGCGCCCATCGGAGGTGCAGGCCACAGCCCCACGGCACTGCCGGCCCCCCAGCCTGGGCACGCTTTAATTAATAATGAGTTAAATTAGTAATGAGTAATAACAACTTGATAAATAAAATATCACCCTCCTTGCCCAAGTGAAGAAAACAGAGAGGAACAGCATTAGGTTGGGGTTTTAATGGCTTAAATTTATTGCTGAAATGCTCTCTTCTAATATCAGCCTGCCAGGAGAGCATGGAAACCAACAGGAGAAGCAAATSAGCACTGGGATGAGCAGTGTATTAAATGGGAATGCGGCCCAAAAACGCGTGTCTCCCTGCTCCCCTGTGCATGGGGGCTCCATAGGCTCCAGCAAATGTCCCTGGGCTGGTTTTTTCCCTGCTTTTACTGGTATGCAGGACAACTTAGTGYCCTCTCACTGGGTGTCCGCTGCCCAGTATTCTGGGTTTCGCTGGGCCTCCCTTGGGAGCTATGAGCCCTGGGTGCACGGTGGGCTTGCATATAGTGATATTCATATTAGCAATATTCAGATCTAATAGGATTCAGTCACATTGCCTCAATTCTGACTTTTTTTTTAGTATGTTTTTGAAATTCATGGGGTTTTGAAGAAAGCCACACCTGCCATGTGCCCCGATGAGGAGCCGTTTGGATGCTCTTCTCTCAATGACCCCTTCATCCTCCCTACACCCGTGGCCCCCCTGTCATGCTGATAGCTGAGACAACCCCAGTGTGCCCCAGCTGTTGAGTGAGCAAATGGTATCAAAGAGCTCGGAAAAAAAAAAAATACTTTGTGCTGGGAGATGGGGAGGAAGGCTAAAAAACTTGCTGTCTTTTCAGGGAGAAACTACCAGCGCCTGCCTCGCTGTTCACAGCTTCCCAGTTTGAATCCAGAGCTGTGAAAATGTCGAAGCTGTGAAAATATGAGCTGTGAGCCCTGGGGAGCTGTGAGCTGGGGAATGGTGGGGATGTGCGAGCTCCCCGAGCTGCAGGGCTTGCGGGTTCCTTCATTCCCTGGTGAGGGACCTTCCCGCTTCCTGCAAGAGCAGGAGAAGCAGCGGCCAAGGTCGCCGGCTTGGCTGCCTTGTAAAAACCTGCCTTTGGCTCGTAACTTCCTGGCCCTTTTATATTTGAGGCAGAAGTTTCTCGGCGCTGGCCTCTGTTAAAAGGGAGGTTTCATTTGAGCAGAGCTGGTTRAATTGCTTCTGAGCCTGGAAGTGAGAAGAAATCATAAAATAAAAAAAAAACCTCCCATTTTGGGACATTATGGGTTATTTGTTTGAGTGGTTAGGCAGCTGTAGGGTGAAAGGTGAAGTTTGGGGGAGAAATGGGCTGGTGTGAGCAGCGGAGCCCGTCACTGCCCAGGGAAAGGGAGCTTGATTTGCCTGAATTTCGGGCTGCAGAAGCSCCTGCCAGCCTTGGGCACCACTGGGCAGCCCGACCCCAGCTCGTCAGCTCCAAAGGACCCGGCAGAAAGAGCAGGAGCCCAGGCTTGGCTCAGCAGGAAAGGCTCTCTGCTAGGAAGTCTCTAATGTGAAACGTCTGAGGCCAGTGGGAGCTGAGAAAATACCTTTTTCGTCAGTAGAAGTCCAGAAAATGTATGACCAAATCTATATGCATCAGTTTCCAATCCTTTGACAGAAAGACATGTATCATACAAAGAATTAGTAGCCGGGAAACTGGTATGGCTCTTCTAACCTATGAGAGAAAACAGGACCTGTGCAAATGAGCTTTGTAGCTCTAAAGCTCTGAAGGCTGCATTTAACTATAGTCATTTCCATTGCCTCACTGAAAACACTTGCTTTAATACAGGTTTGTCCATGCAATATGTGCATTTGTCAGAACTTTCCTAGTGCACTTCAGGTAATTTATATACCTAAGTACACACGCTGTCATTTTTAATGCGTTTTGAGTAACACGCGCCGTCCAGCTAGAGCTCACCCTGCGTCACAAATAAAAAATACCAGCAATTTAGATTTAAGGAATAATATAATCAAATTTGCTTCCTAAAGGCCCTAAAAGTACCAACGTGACCAAAAAGAAAATGATCGTTTCAATCATTTTTCCTCCTCCTGATTTGAATCATGATTWAAGTCATTTCCACCCATCGGTAAGGGAAGCAGAGTCCCCTCCGTGCCATCCCGCAGGAGGCAGGGAGGATGTGGATACCTGTAGGGGCTGCAGAGGGGAAGATCTCCTCTCTCAGCTTATCCCTGATGGATATGCAGTGGATTTTCCTTGAATTTTCTTGGTCAGAACTGAGAGGATGGGTAAGGTTGTTTGGAGAAAAAGCTCTGCGGGAGCCCTTCTTTCACGGAGCACTTAGCTGTGCTGTCAGAAAATGAAACCCATTAGGCTGCTGCTTGTCCAGCTGATGCATCACTGCCTCCTTTCTTCTCTCCCTCTCTCCTCTCTCCAGGTTATTTCCAGGATTTGCTGAACAAATCGGAAAAGGCCCTTTATGAGGCTTTCCCAACCATGTATGGGGAATTGTACATGCAAAACATGAAGGTCTTCAAGGATTTGTACAGTGAGCTCCGCCGCTACTACAGGGGCTCCAACATCAACTTGGAAGAGGCCCTCAATGAGTTCTGGACGCGCTTGCTGGAGCGGCTCTTCAAGCTGATGAATCCCCAGTACCACATCACGGATGAGTACCTGGACTGCATGGTGAAGCATGCGGAGCAGCACAAACCCTTCGGGGAGGTCCCCAGGGACCTGAAGGTGAAGGCCACCCGAGCCTTCATTGCAGCGCGCTCCTACGCCCAGGGCTTTCTTGTGGGCAGCGACGTGGTCAGAAAGGTCTCTCAGGTAGGTCTGTGTTCTTCCTAGTCCGCCACTCTCACATTAGCAGGAGGCAATCAACTCCTTTTGGTTGGGAGAAAGGGGGATTTTATCTGCCTTCAGTTTTCACCATGAGGCCAGGAGGCATTTTTCAGTCTCATAAAGGACTGCTTGAGGGTTACCCATCAGCAGAAAGGTACAGGCAGCCGGGGCTGTTACAAACACGGAGAGCGCAGGAGACGTGAGCTATAGCCCGCCACAAACCAGACCTCTCCTCATTTTAACCGGCGTGGCAGCGTGCCAAGGAGATGCCAGTCACCCAGCATGTAAAGTCACTTTGTCACTTGCCCAGATTCGCAGCACTTTGCTAGCAGGGAAGGCGCYGTGCCTCTGAATCCCACCAGCTGCTTTCCCTCCGTGCTGGTGCCGTGCACTGCCATCACCTGCAAGGAGAGGCCCTCCAGGAGCTGGCAAAGGGATCGCTCTGCCCCGTGCAGTGACACTCATGCCCATCTGAAGTACAGGACAGTGTCTGGCCAGGATCCTTGAAAGCCAAGTGCAGCATTTTGAGCGGTTTTCAGCAAAAAGGTCCTTGTCAAGTGAGCAGATAGGAGTTTTTCTCGTGTGCCTCTTGATGGCAAGTTCATGTCAAAGCTGGTTGTTTGTTCCCTTCCTTCACACCTCTTACTGATCCTGTAGATGTTGTGCATCTTGTTGTCCAACTGCAAAGGGAGAAGCTGCCCTGAGCCCCCGTATTTTTGAGCACTCGCCGAACTCTTCCTTTAGTCTGAGCGAGAGCCACCACCGGTGCTTGGATTTTTGTCCTTTTCCRTGTTGCTTTGTATTTATGACGTTAGGAGAAAGCTTGTAAGGCTCGTGCTAAGATCAGAGGCTGAGACTAAGTGCTCCTGTCAGCTGGCAGCATTCCTTAAAAATAACTCATGGAGCTGAACGTCTTGCGGACCAATGCTGAATATTTTGGTGAGGAAGTCTAGGGGAAAGCCACTAGACCAGGGGAAATAAATTAGCAGGCTTGGTGCTCTGAAGTGTTAATATTGGGGCACAAGGAGCATCCYACTTTTCTTAAGGAGCCTTCCTTCTGTTCAGGCATTGGCAGCTGCCCCAAAATTGTGTTTGCTGCTGCTCTGAGGTCTGTGGGAGCAGGTGAAGACTTYAAGCTGGCCCAGACCAGGCAGTGGGACACGAAGCCCAACTGAGACAGCAAATTGCAGGGCCTGGGAGATAAACACCTGAGAAAGGAAAGCAAAAATCCCTGCAGAGGTGCAGGGTGATCAGGAGGGATATCCAAGCTGAGCTTGCTAGTTATTGCCTGCATTAAGGCTCTTCCCAAAAGTCCCAGGTCAAGGACTTTCCCAGAAGAAGAAATAATGTTCAGTGTCCAAAGCATGGCAGGGGGAGGCACTGCAAAATGAATTTTTCTGATCTGTCAGAACATGAATTACTAGAACAATCTTCCTTTTCCCAGTTCTCCATTGCTTCCTTTCTCTGGAGTAGTGTGGATTGATGTAAACGAATGCCATTTTCATAAGCTAGAAACAGTAAAATCATCTATTTTAATAGTAGCTTGCTTTTTCTTAGTGTCCTTAAAGAAGGCCAGTTCTTATTTTGAAACTGAATACATTGGATTTTCTTTATTCATTATGAGCTTTTCACTAAACTCTATTTTGTTTTAATAATGAAAATTGTCTATCAAATAACTTCTGTGCAAGTCCTGCTGTGGCTTACCGTACATATTTGTCTTGTTTTTTAATCTTCTATATTACTGTATGGTAAATGGCAACTTTCTTATTTACCATATGACTAACTTTCTAACACATGGTGCATCAAGCTGCATTTTGATGGAAATCTAATTAAAGAGGCATCAAAATGGAATATTAACATGTACTTAGCAGCTAAATGAGCATGTTGGATACATACAGGAAATAATGTTTCTCTAACCATGCTTTACATTACCAGCAAGTTGATAATTCAACAAAGACAATAGGATCATTCCTGGTCTTCACATCTTTAAGACTGCAGAATTAATGCAACCCAATCCTACTCCATCTTTATTCATGGCTTGGAAGAAGAGAGTTGGCTTCCTTCTTGCAGCTCCCAATTGTTTTTTGGGTGAACTAGCCGTAATAAATAATGTGAGTGAATAAATTGAAGCATACGGCCTCTTTTCACATGCTTCTTAAATGACTTWGCTAGAACAGGCTGGGCACAATTAGTGCATCCCAAGAGTTTTGTGACCTGGCTTTCGGTGGCTTTATTTAGAACATCAGCAGCAAGTACACACAAGCATACATTACATTTTATTTTGTTTAAAGGATTTCACTTATTTTAATGAGATTGTTTGTATAAACTGGCGTTGCAGTGARGTTTGTGTTTGTTTGGGCACACTCAAATTGAGCTGGATGAGGTGACCTCACAGTCGTGACCTCGTCCTTACATATTTCACAGATTTCTTTCTATATCCAGTAATATACTTAAATCAGAAGCCTTTAGAGATAAAAAGCCTTCAAGTTTTTATGCTGGTGGAGATGGTGCCGCTGGGAATCGGGCTGTGAAAACTGCAGTGTCACTGAGCAGGGCTGAGCTCCTGGGGGCTCCGGGAAGGTTGTTCCTGAGGAAGCCTCATCCCCATCTCTCCTTCCCTTTTCCTCTGGTCTCTAAGAGCCAAGATAGGGTTTACCAGCATCTGGCACAGCAGATGACCTGAAACAGGTCATGTTGCTCTAGTCTCTGCACCAAGGAACATTCTAAATCCTATTCAAGATTAAGGGAGGTTTGGGGTTATTTCAGGAGGAATTGCATCTCTCTTCCACCTGTTGTGACTTTCACCSAACCTTCCTCTGACAGAAGGTCTACAAATCAATGGATGTTGTTTGGAAAATTAAAATATTAACTTGGTGGGTGATTCAGTAGAAGAGAGAAGGGAATGGAGGGGTTGAGAGTAAAGGGTCCTGTGGTTYGGTAAGGTGTCTTGGTGATATTTATGAGTGCGAGTATGTGCGCAAAGGCTGAGCTTGTAATTGAATTTGGATTAAACATATAAATCAAAAGTTCGAGTTGTTCTTTGAAGGCACAGAAGAAGGGCATATTTTTCCTGCTATATTTCAGAAAGATCTAGCTCATTTTTCTCCAGAGCACTGCTGCACTGCTGTGTGCATGTCCTGCAGAGACTAAAACCCTTTGAACACCAAGAGCTGTCTGCACTCGAGACCATTCTGTACACTCAAGTGTCAATTCAATAGCGCCTGGCCTGTTTGATTAGTTGATTGCTTCTCCCATTCTACAGGAGTTTCACCTCCTGTGTCTCCACTTTATAAAGTTTATAACCACTATTATATTGCAGTTTAGGTAATACTGAGGGTAACTTAGGTCTCCTGGAAGTTTTTTCAGTGCAGAGAGACAGAGGCGGTGGCTGTTTTTCTTGGGACTTCTGCATTTTTGGGATTCTGTGCTATGAAAGTGTCCTGATAAACTCCCCGGTGGGAGCTTTTTGGTGAGAAGTCTTCCAGACTGAATGTTTGCCAACTTTTAGGGAGCTGGTGGAGAGAAACCAAGTTAGAGCCTCATCCTGCAGAACTTCCTCTCAGCAAATCATTTGTGAAAATTACTGGTTTTACTCTAATTGATTTAAACATTGCTGAGGAGCAGGAAAAATGAGGGAAACGAATGTCTCTTTCAATGGTGCTGAGAGTTACGACGTGCTCTCAATTTCCTGCCATATTATCTCTGCGTGTGCCCGTCCTCCGCTGGCTGGTAAGCAGTGACACAGCAAAGCCCAGCACAGCAACCCTGTTGTGGAGCTCGATCACGAGCCTTGCAAACCCGAGAGCTCTGCTCCCATCTTGAGCCGTGATCCGAGAGGCTATGAGGATTTCTGCTGTGCCTCCAGCGACTCACATCTGCCCTGGTGGCCCCATCAACAAGGCAGAGACACATCAGGCTTTGGAAGGGAGCCACAGAGAAACACCGAGCTCRGCTCTGGAGTCGAGCCCTGCTTGCAGGCTGATACCTGATGACAACCGCCTTGAAATGTCACTGCTTTCCGTGGCACGATGCTTTTTATGAGGCCGCCACCTGTTCCAGCTGCATTAGCTCATTGCTRCTCACATCAACTTCTCTATCTTCGGCTATAAAGTAGTTTTAATTAAAGTGATTTATTGTTCCGTATCACTTGGTCTCCTATTTTAAGATTTTTTTTCCCCAAAGGTATATTTATTTTTTCCTTATCATTTCATCACGTGCACTTTACGGGACTCTTCCCACTGATGTCACTSGGACCAGAATGGAGTATGTAGATTTTAACTGAACGATATCATAGAAACGATGTATTTTTAGGTTGAGCTTTGCTTTCTTTGGCATATTTATTTGTGTCTCTAACAACTAAATGAGGAGTGCCCTGGCTCCAAGCCATATCTCTTAGCGATAACTTTTCTTCAGATGCTTGGGAAATATCTTTTCAAAGTATTGTGCATTTCCTGTGGACATCTTAATGGAGTTTCTAGGTCATAAAACTAAGAAAGGACTATAGTTGTCTCTGAAGTTAAAGGAAAGCTGTAGCAGCACAGAGAATTAAGGTCATTATGGAAGCTATATAGCTGGAAGTTCTGTCCAAGTCAAGCTCTAATACTTGTACACTAAGATGTGGAAAATTATGTGTGAACACATTGGCCTGAAATGCAAGCAGGTCAAATCATGGCTTGTTTGAAGTCCACCGAGGAGACTTTATTTTGACTTTCATGAGGGCAGGTCTGTGAAGATGAACTGTAGAAATAATGACACCATAACATTGAGATGATTGCCTAGGGCCTTGCTGCTAGCTTGCAGTGGAAGAAAGTGGCTAACTTTATTTCCATTTACGTTTTGTTTGCTTGCAGTATATATTTTAGCAAGTTATTAAGCAGGCTTTTGTGTTAGTGATGCTCCACCAGGAAAACCTGAAGAAGTTGTACAGCTCCCACCAGCTCAAGCAGGACATGGTGGAAGGGGAGCGTGTCCCAACCACCCCTGGACCCCCAGTCCCCACTGGCAAGGGGCCCAGCTGGGCACCCCATGGATAGGGGAGCTGCAGGCCATGCGCGAGCTCTGGGCTCACGTCAGGGTTGCCCTGTTGGCTTTCCTGGTGTTGTCAATGACATTAGCAAACGTTGCTTGAGTCCAGGGGGCTTCTGCTTTCCTAAAGTGCCTCTAAAACCCAAGCTACAGTGACAGTGGCGCCGAGGGGAGAGTTAGCAGCCTGCGTTTCAGCACGAGCCGGGCCAGACCGAAGGTACTTAGAGGAATCAATTATTGTCATGTACTGTCTTCATGCTGTGCCACATTATTTAAAGATGAGCAATGATGGTAGCATGCACTTCCTCAGCAGACATGTGCGTGCCTCTGCTCTGGGGCCACCTGCCACGCGCAAGGGACATTGTGTATTGATCAGTTAACGGTAGCACAAGCCSGGAGGCCGGAAGAGCTTTCCATCAGGTTTTGGTTGGCGTCCACCAGCCGTTGAGCAGGAGGTGACTCATAGCATTTCCATGCCTTTTCCAGTCTGGAGGGGAAAAGCAGAACAAAGGAGGATGAAATGTCTTAATTAGCAGGTGGCGGGGGGTCAATCTCTGTGTTACCAGCCTGGAGGAACTGCTTTGCACTCACAGCAGGAATGTGTATAGGAGAGAGAAGAGGGATCCTCCTCGTGGTTCCCTGTGAGGTTTCTCTGTGGTTTAACCAGCCCTAAGAGTACAAGGTGTTTGGTGGGGCTGGGAGAGGAAGGTGTTTGGGGTTTGCTGCCACTGTTTTGATTTTCCTGTTTATTTAAGATTTTAATGCTCAGGTCTTTTTCGGTTCCTCATGACTTTATTTTCTAGATAGCGAAAGGGATTGGACATCAGCCTAAGGAGCACAAGATGTCTTCAGCCTAGCAACGGACACATTCTCCAGTGCCTTCACCCCATACAGACCACGGCGTAGCTCTGATGAAACCCTGCAAGAGCTGTTCCTTGCAGAGGAGGGTTTCTTTGCATGTGACTTTCATGTCTAGATCTAAGGGAGAAGGCCACTGAGTTCCTGATAACAGCAAAGGGACAAGGATCAAAGAAATCCTTGGTCCTGTTAAAATGAAGGGCTTTGCATTTCAGCTCTTCTAAAGCATATTGACTGAGCTATCAATGCTTTGGTAGCTCTGGCCAAGGAAAATAGTCACGTTTCTGCAGAAAGGTCCCCATCAGGGCAAAGGGACCTGTTGGTCATGTCCTAGAGAGAGAGCCAACAAGCTCTAGAGCCAACAAGAACTTCCAAGCCAACAAGTGTGGCTACCTGTGGCCTTCCCAGAGGAAGCATCTCCATAGATCCCATCATCCCTCTCTAAAAAATCCTGGCTAATGTAGAAAAAYAGATTTTTCACCTTCAGAAAGGCTTATTGGGAGGTTAGCCATTAATATCCTGCTTCAAAATACCCCCTGTAGTTCTTCTTCCCTGTGTTTGGTGTGTCTCTGTGGCCTGCCTGCGGGAAGGCAGCCGTGTGGACATAAGAGATTTGAATAATTCCATGGAGAAATAACTGAGCCCAGGCTTTTGCATGAGCGAAAACTTAATGCTTATCCTTTGTGCCAAGAGCTTAAGCTTGTCTTGGCGCCCGCCAAACTYGGCGGAGCAACAGTTGGTGCGCGAACGTGGCACCTGCTGCTCCCGAGAGCACTCGAGGCCCCGGGGACGGGGAGAGCGGAGGGCAGGAGATGCAGCCGGAGCTCCCTGGCCCCGTTTACACAAAGAACAAGCCCCTTTCCTCAAGCTGTCCGTGTGCAGTGGCCAGGGAAGCTCTTGGCGACTGTTCCAGCGGCAGCTCCGCGGGGCAGCTGTTCCCAGCAGCTCCCAACGGGTGGCCGGCGCCGAGGAGCTGCCAGCCGCAGGCCCCTCCACGGGCCGCGGCCTGGCCGGCAGCTGGCGGCGTCGCGGGGCGCTCCGGGCCTGCCAGCGCCCCGACGGAGGCAGCGGCCGCGAAGGGGCCCTTCGCCGTGACCCTCGCGTCGTACCCTGGCCCTTGTGCTTGCTGGGGAAAAGGCGGGCACGAAAACGAGGAGCTCTGCAAGCAGAAATGCTTGGGAAGCGGCCGCTGGGCCCTCACGGGCTGTGTGCAAAATGGCCTTGTTGCCTTTAGGGTACTGGGCTTTCCCCGTACYTTCAACCCAACCTCGGTGCTTTCCTGAACCAAGGCAGGTCATTTGCCGCTGTCCCCCACAGGATTTGGCTGGGTGCAGAATGGCTTTGTTTTCTCAGCGCTGATGACTTCCCTCTTCATCGTTTGGTAGCTGCCCTGCAGCCCCCGGAGGAGCGTGYGGTGCCCGCGGCAGCGGCGCTGCCCGTCTGTTCAGAAGCCAGAGCAGTTTGGCTTCCTCCGCTCCAGAAGGCCACCCGGCCCAGCCGCAGTTACCCAAGGCAGGGATGTGTGTGTGGAACCAGCTGTTCTCTGCTTCTCATCATTACCCTGAAAAGCCCCAAGCGTCCCGGCGCAGCTACGTGACTCGCGGTGCAGCGGGTCCCTGGATGCTTGGGAGCTCMAAGCTTTGCCCTGTGCGAGTTCACATCAGCCAAGGTTACGGTCGGATAGTCGATGCCAAGTGTGAATGGGAGCGCCTCTCAGACAGAGTTGTCTTGGGGACTTTCTTGCTCATGCAGGTTGTGTTGGACTCCTGCTGTGTAGCTCGTGTTTGTGAACATGCTGCAGAAGGAGTGGTGGGAGCTGCTTTCTCAGCCGCATTGCCTGTTCTGTACACTAGATAATCCATTTTCAGGAGGTCTTCAGCTAGAGAGCCTGTTAGCATTCAACACAGTCTTACTTGTTGTCTTTTCCTTTGCTGTTTAATCCTGGTTAATTAAACACAGGGTTGAAACAGAAGCGTTTCACCGTGAAAGTTTGTGATTCCCAGTGCTTGGCTGCAATCCTGGGTGGGAGAGGGTGGTCGCATGTGCCTTTACCTGCCTCTTCYAGGGACGAACTGGCCGCATCTCCATGCCTTTCAGTGGGACACGTCTTCCATCTCCTGGTGGCAGGGCCGCACTGCAGGCTGCAGAGCACATGGACACCCAGGCAGAGAGAAAACCCTCCAAGGAGAGTGAGGCCTTCATATGTTTGTTGTCTTTGCAAGGCTGAGCCCTCCAGGCTGCTGTGGAACTCTGCATTTTATCCAAAAGCATCTTGCTTTGGGAGCTGGTGGTCGCAGGGACAGGGAAGCAGTCTCTGTTCAGGGTCATAGACTTTTGTCCTGGACCTGAAGAAGGTTTCAATAAGGTTATATTTTGGTATATTATATATATATTATGTATTATGTATTATATATATTATATATTATATATTATATATTATATTATATATTATATATTATATATTATATATATTTATTTTTTGATAAGGCACCAAGGAAACTTGCCTGCAGACTCTTAGGTTTATTTTTGTAAATAAGCACAACAGGTGCTGAGCTTTCTGGTTAGTGCATGGACACTAACGCTGTGGYGATGGATCAGGTTAGTTTAGTCCGAGGCTGGCAAGGCTGTCTCCAACATCACATCTGTGAAGCGCTTGGGTACACGTGCAATGTGTGAGCACCACAAGCTTTGTACTGTGGTGTAGGTTGGCCTCCTTGGCCTGCTGTTCAGGTCTTTCCCTGTATTTCCTGCTGTCTTCTTTTCCAAAGATGAACCTGAGACCTCCCAGTTGTGCCTGCAGCTGGGAACCTGCAGATGCAGTTAGAAGAGGAGGCTGCACCTGCCAGGTGGTGCAGCAAACCCTTCCTGCCCGAATTGCTCCAATGGAGGGCTGCTGATTGCAGAGGCTCCAGGGCATTAACCCAGCGTGTGTCCATATCACCAAATTGCAGCTTGTTGGCACAGCCTAGGCAGTCCCACAGGAGGGACACGAAGGCTCAGCTGGTGRAGGTGCTTGGCACAAGGCTGCAGGGCTAAGCTCAGTGCAAGAAGTTTGTTGCCTGCCTCTGAGCCTCCAAGAAGTTATTCAGAAGTTTGGTATTGTAGTGGTGGTGCTCCACCTGTGAACAGGTTTTCTTGTTGTGCACTTGGCTGGTGGGTCCCATGACTGAGATGGGGCCGTGGGTCACTGAGTCCAACTCCCTAAAAACACCACCAWGCCCCAGGTCCTTGAGCCTCACTGATGACTCTAAGCACTCTTTGGTGCAGTCCTTGTTTTTCATGCTGGCTCTTGTTCCTTTTGGTTTGCTGCAGCATGGCCAGAGCACGCCAGGCTGTCCTTGTGCCACTTTCCCAGGGGTTCCTGGCACAGGCCAACCCCAGGTGGCAGGGGAATGGCACGTTGGCATGCTCCAGGGTCTCTGCTCACATCCAACTTGTTCCTAGTCCCCTCGAGGCAAACACAGGCAGAGGAACTGGCCCCTGCCCCAGAGCTCATACTCCTATAATGGAGACACCATTCAGGGGATGGCAGGAGGGAAGGAGCAGCACAAGGAGGGGAAGCAGCGTGCCCAAAAGATGCCTCACAGCCCTGAGTCCTGCCTGGGGAACCTTCACCAGCCCGTGTTGATATCTCTGTGTCTCTCTGCCCTAGGTCTCGCTCAGCCATGAGTGCACCCGTGCCGTCATGAAGCTGATGTACTGTCCCCACTGCCGGGGCATGTCCAGCGTGAAGCCATGCAACAACTACTGCCTCAACGTTGTCAAGGGCTGCCTGGCCAACCAAGCAGACTTGAACACCGAGTGGAAGTACCTGATGGGTAAGGCAGTTGTGCTATCTACCAAGAGCACCTTTTGGACCCCCCTGAGATGGTGGTTGGAGGGTGAAGAAGGCCAGCTAGACTGCAGGGACAGTTTTGCTTGGGGACTTTATAAGTCATCTCCCCTTCAATCCATAGTAATCATACTATGGATTGTAGTAATCATTTTATTCCCTCAGTGATGGTTAAATTTCTACTCCCTGCAGCCTTCTGCTGACCAGAATAATTTCCTGTCCAACTGGGCTCAGCATCAGGCCTCCATTATGAGCACAGCACCACTGTGAACCTTGTGTTTCTGCACAGACCTCACCTAGGCCTCACAGAAGTCCTCTGAGGTCCTTGTGCCAAGTCCTGCTGGTAGTCTTTGCCAATGCAAGGAACTGAGTTGAGTTCCTCACAAGTTTGAAGGGGTGGTGGGCTTTCTCCGTGCCCYGTCAGGCTGGGCTCCTGCTCGCAGGAGATGAGCTCTGTGCCCCACAAATAGCATCAGTCCTTTACAGCAGTGCCACAGGTGGCACTACGCGCTGTGGGGGGCTGGAGGATGCAGGAGATGTTTTATTGTTAGTCAGCTAAGTGCCTGGAATAATTCACTTGGTGGCTTCATTATTCATGAAGAATGTGGGCCGTGCAAACTCATGCTGAAYAAGCTTTTCTGCAACATCACACCATCTGCCGTGACACTCTCCTGCCAGGCGGATGGGTGAAGTATCAGGAGTTGGAATAAAATAATTAATCACTCCTAATGAATCRCTCCATTTGCTAATGGTACCATTCTTCAGCCTAGACCTAGGGATTTGACCCTTCTTATAGAGAGAGAAAAATCAACATGAAGCCGTCACAGTTGTTTTCCTCCATATGGAGAGGCCACAGGAACGTGGACACGCTCTGTTCCACATGAAGAGTGGCCACCACTGCACCCTGCCAGATCCCAGCCCTGCTGGGAGGTTTTTGGTGGGCCCTGGGGGACACTAACCACACTGGAGCATCTGGGGTCACGTGTAGCTGAATGCCAAGTCCCTAAATCCTGATGTAGCTTATGTGTGGCCTGGCCTCTAAGCTCCTGAGCACTAAAAGCAGAAGTGGTTGGGAACTGAGTCCAGAGCTCCTCAGGGATAGACAGCAACTCARCGGTGGCTTCCAGAACTATAATTTTCAGTTTACAAACTCAGACTCTGTAAAAATCCCATTTCAGGTGCCTCAGCCAGTTGTGGCTCTGCTCTAAGATCGCCTTCCAAGTTTTGTTGGACACTGTCAGCCTTCATAGGCAGTGGCATTTCCCAGTGCYCTGAGCCAGTGGGCAACTAGCTTGTCCTCCCTTCCAACCAAGCGGAGTGCTGAAGAACATGTGGTGTGGGCAGGGTTGGTTCTGCACTCCAGCAAGACAGGAGCACTGCCCAGGCTCAGTCACTTGCCACTTGCAGGAGCTGACCTCTGTTCCTCTGCCATTGCAACACCCAAAAAYAGTGAATTTTGAATGTTGTCCCGTTCCAAAGGAAAATCAATGTGTGTGGGGGAAGAAGTGAGAATGGACAGGTGTTTTTCAAAAGTCAGCCTGCTGAGGGACCAAATATTATCCCACCCAGCATGAGGGTTTGCTCTGACTCTGGTTTGTACAAAGTCTGCTGAAAGGGTGTCTCTGTTGGTATTTTGCTAGATTCTCTGATAGTGGTGGCTGATCGCATCGATGGACCRTACAATGTAGACACTGTAATAGGAACTATTCACATGAGGATTGCTGAAGCTATTTCTAACTTGCAAGAAAACAAAGACTCAATCACAGCCAAGGTAAGAGCGTGTGCCCTGCCCTGACTGCCTATACACCGTGGGTAGTYGCTAGGGCTGTTTTTTCTGCTCACCAGTCACCTGAATTAAGGGAGATAAAAGCAGAAAGATTAAAAGCCCACTCTTCTAATGATGAGCGGCCACTCATCCTATACTGAGAAAAACCTTCTCCAGCATTTTCAGGTCTTCCTGTCAGTCACATCAGCCAGCTTCCCTTAGGTCCAGGCATGCAGGATGATGCTGAGTTTGCAGTACCCGTGGGAAACCTAGTGCCATTTGCTCTCAGGAGCCTCGGTGTCTGCGTCCAAAGAGCTTTAAAGCATTTTCACTGAACTGAGGCTTTTGCAGAAAGTTCACAGCCCTTTTCAGAGGCAGAGAGCAGCTGCTACAGCCTAGGGGGATGTTCTGCAGTGAAACACAGGGTGCTCAGGTTGGGTTTATGGGACAGGCCTGCAATCTGACAGTCAATCTGGAGACTGTGAAACAGGCTCTCCTGACGCTCACCTGTCTTTCAAGGAGCTCTCTGCAGAAGCTCTTTTCTTTTGGCCTCTATTTCTAGTATGTTCATCCATTAACCACGATCCCSTCAATGGATGCAAGTGAAGAATGCACAGCTTTGGCAAAAACCAAACCAAAAAAAAAAAAACCCAAAACAGCAGCCTGCTAAGGCTTCTGCTTTYTGCTTTATGTCCTTCAAACACACCACACCATTGAGGTTTGTTGTCACCTGGAGGACTCTGGCCAAGACCAGGACGCTGCTGATGGCTTTTGGGTTCCACTAGCAGTAGCACCAAGCGGCTGCCACAAGCTGTGCTGTCGATACCAGTTGGCATTTGAGTTCTTGCTTTCTCTGCACTAAAGGGATTCTGCAAAGTCGGATTTATCAAAAGCATCTGACAACACACAGGTAATCGGACCAAGCTCTGAGTCAACTTTTTGAATCAGATGGCCTTCCTCACGAGGACTATTGTTTCCTGAATCAAATCAACACTGTAAAAAGCCCACGTGAGCTTTGGCATCTGCTTAAATTTGGCTCTGTGAGCACACTAGTTACACACAGCTACAGTGAGACTCAGCTGCCTGAGCCCAAGGTGTCTTCAGGAAGATGTTATTCTGTGTACTGATCRTTGTCCAGAGGCTTGAAAGACTGAGAGAAACAGGCACCTCCAAGGAGCCCCTCATTTCATCCTAAAGGAGAGACCTTTAGCAGAGTCGTGCCTTTGAAGCACTTCTGCCCTCCACTGGCTAAAGGGAATCTGAGCAGGCAGTTGGGATAAGAGGAAATATCCAAACATAAATCAGTTCTGGCTTTGAAATGACCAACCTGACAGATGATGGCATGTTTATGCAGCAGCCCTCCCCTGCTGCACGCCCATGGCTAAAGTCAGCAGAGGTGTCCCACCCTAGTCCACTGTCCAAATCAGTGAACCTCATATGCTCTTGGCCTTCAAAGCCCACACCTCTGGTGTTATGAATGTCACCAACTCCCATCGTGTTCTTTGAAGACCTCCCAGAATTGGTTTTGAGTACAAGAACAGATAAGCTTACTAGAAATAATCTAATATCAACATCAGTGATTCATCCAAAAGCATGTGCTCATTTTGTGTTTGTGATGAACATTCGGCCTGATGGTAGTAGCCAAGAGTAGTTCCTGCCTGAAAATAAATCATGGCACATGAGTGATCTGACCAAAAACTAAGCCCAAGTCTCAGAGATCTGGTAAGTAGGAAATATTAGTAAATAAATAAAAATAAAAACATAAGCAAAAAGTGATATTTAATTAAGAAACAAGTATCAAACGACAGGACAGAGTATGGTTTGTTTTTCAGGTTTTCCAAGGCTGTGGAAATCCCAAAATCAATACAAAAGGCTCCAGTAGTGAAGATAAGAAAAGACGGGGGAAGGTCACGTTAGAAGCAAAATCCTCTGCGCAAGCGCTGGAGATGCTGGTGAGTTTGTCTTCAGAGCTCCTTTCACATAATGGTTGAGGTTGGAAGGGACCTCTAGAGATCATCTAGTCCAACCCCAGCAGGGACACCCAGAGCACGGGGCACAGGGTGGCATCCAGGCGGGTTTTGGAGACCTCCAGAGAGGAGACTCCACAGCCTCCCTGGGCAGCCTGTGCCAGGGCTCTGTCACCCTCACAGTGACKAAGTTCCTCCTYACCTGGAGATGGAACTGCCCAGGTTTCAGCTTACACCCATTGACCCTTATCCTGTCACTGGCCACCACTGAGATTTCCACCACTGGTTTCCTGCTGGCATCGCAGACTGCACACAGGGGTTGGCTCTGCAGAGACTTGGGAATCAGGAGACAGGGAATCAGGAATCCCATGACGTTTCTTTCACCACAGGTTTTAGATGCCAAAGGGAACCTGACAAGTCTCAAGTCTTACTGGGTCACCTTGCCCAACGTGCTGTGCAGCAAGAAGGTGACGGCCGGCTCGGGAGCAGACGACAAGTGCTGGAACGGGATGACCAAGGGCAGGTATGTGGAGGGGGCCAGGGACACGTCTCCTCAGCATCCCTCAGCCTCCACCTTAGCCCCTCCTGCTGGGACASACTGGCATGAAATCCTGCTGGGGTGAAATCCTGGCTGGTACCGTGACCAGCACTCAGCCTCCTGCATTTGGGAGCCCAGAAGAGCTCTGGGGGCCTCATCCTGCCCCCAGACACGGGTCAACGTGCACGGCCTGCCTAGCCTACATGCAGAACCTGCCTGGTAAGCCAGTGCCACCAGCCTGCAGCTTCTTCACATTCCAGAATTGATGGGTTACTACTGGCACCTGAAAGAGGGAGAGGGGAGCCTAGTGTGGGGGAGGCACCAAAGCCTATTTCTTCCCTTCGTAGTTACCTGCCCGAGGTGATGGGGGACGGCCTGGCCAACCAGATTAACAACCCAGAGGTGGAGGTGGACATCACCAAGCCGGATATGACCATTCGCCAGCAGATCATGCAGCTGAAGATCATGACGAACCGCCTGGGCAACGCCAACATCGGGAACGATGTGGACTTCCAAGACGCGAGTGAGTGCGGCCCAAATCCCAGGGCCCGGGCAGGGGACCACGCACGGGCTGGGGTGGCCTGCAGGGTCCCCAGGACGTGGCCAAGCCCCGCRGAGGGGCCGGGGCTGCGCGGGGTTTCACCCACGCGCCTGTCTCATGCCCAGCCTGTCCCCACGTGTGCAGGTGACGACACGAGCGGCTCCGGCAGCGGCGACGCCTGTCCCGACGACGTGTGCGGCAAGAGACTCGCTAAGAGCCCCAGCACCAGGCCGCCCGAGACGCACGCCATCCCCAAGCAGTCGGGACACGGYGTCAGCGGCGCCAGCAGCAGATCGTTGCCTTCCGCCTTCCTCCTCCTCCTCCTCCTCTCGGTGGCTCTCCTGGCCACGCAGCGCTTGTGGCGGTAACTCACTGGCACAGCCGGGAAAGAGACTGCGGCCGAGGGCGTCACTTTGCCAAAACCAACCACCCGACCGACCGACCGACAAAAAGGACATATGTAATTCTCCTTGGCAAAAAAAAAAGAAAAAGGAAAAAGGAAAAAAAAAAAAGGAAAAGAAAAAAAGAAAGGAGGGAGGAGAAAAAGGTTTCAGTTGTTTGCTAGTTCTGACAGCGCTCGGGCTGTTTTCTTCTTTCTTGGTCTCTTCCCCCGTGCTGGGCCCTCYTTTCCATACCTCACTGCTTTACTCTTGGCGTTGCCCCGGGTGGGCTGCAGCGAGGCGTCCCGGGGCCGCCGTTCCCGCCTGCAGCGGGATCCGCCGTTCCCGACCCCGCACCGCGCCTGGGGGCCGGCAACCCCGCGCTCCGCACCGCGCTGCAGCGCGTGGAGAGACCGCGCCGGTCAGCGCCGCGGCCGGGGAGGCTCTGCGCCACCCTCCGCCTTTCGTGCGCACGCAGAGATGCTCCTTCCCCTCCACCCTTGGCCGTGGCGGCTCTGAGCGGTTTTGGTGGGTCCTAGCGGCCGGTTTGGCAGTGGCTGTTGGACCCCGGGGTGCCGAAGGCGCCGTTTCTTTGGCAAGGCCACAAGTGGGTGTCTTGACTAGAGCTCGTAGCTGATGGCAGTGTCCAGCGTAGGTCTCCTACATCTAAGTGACTGGGAGTGAGTGTTAGGGGTGGGGTTGGGGGGGGTGTTTCTTTGCATGCTAGTTGGAAAGCCATTTTTTTAACCCGAGTTAAGGAGAAGACCCAGTTTCTACCTGCAGTGCAGTACCGTGGTAGGGAAGCGAGAGAGAGGAACACGCGGAGCTGGAGGCTGCGCGGGACGGACGGACAGATGGACGGGGCCGCCCRGCACGGCCCCGGTCTGGGTAATGAGGAAGAGGGGCAGAGGGGCCGGTGCTTCGCAGCCCTCCACGGTGTCTGTGCCCAGGGGATGGCCCCACAGGTAGCGCCCATGGGGGACGGGAAGGGGGGTGTTGGGGGTATTTTTCTTTCGGTGTCTGTTTTTCTCGTTGAATCATGTTTTTTGGAGTGAATTCCTGCTTTCCCTCCCCGTCCTGCCACGCGCTCCTCCCTGCGGAGGGGACAGCACAAGGAACCACAGTCCCGTGCCAGGCCGGGCAAGGACGGCGGCAGCTCCTCAGCCCAGGCGGGTACCACCGGCCGGCTGTCACTGAGCKGTTGTTCCCATCATGGTGACACCCGTGCAGCCTGTCCGGGCTGTGCGCCTCTTCCAGCAGGTTAAAACAGAGCTAATTTAGTGGGGCTTCAAAAACAGGAGCCCCCAAATCCTTCCACAACAAGGACAGTCCCAAGACCCACCAAAGCCCAGAGGCAGAGATATGCAGCACAGGGTGTAGATGGACTTATTTACTTCTACATATATGTCAAGTTCCACATTCMTTTTACTACTCTAAACAAATACTGTTTTTGCGGGGGGAACAGGATTGCCAATAAAAGGATTAGCCTTCAGTTGCATAAATTCCTACTACCAATCTTGCAGAGATCCTGCAAATGCAAGAGAGGACAGGGCATTAAAAATTGCACCCTCTGCAAAATAAAAAAGGGAATGGGAGGTTTGAAGACTTTATAGGAACGAATCCCARGGTCCATGTTTCACTTTATGGGACGATTGGGAAGTTTTGCTSTTTCCTTTTGCCTGCAGCGAGTTGGCTGCCAGCCTGTGACACTCCAGGTAGCCTGTGGGCGCAAAGGGGCCCGTGTTGAACGCGAAGCCGGGAACGTGGTGTTGGCCCAGCTCACGTTTTAGCTGTTTCCTATTCCCATTACAGGTCCTTTCGCAATAATATAACCTCGCAGCCCACTTTGCTGCGGAAAAGCCTTGAGAAACAGTCCGTGTGCAGCAGAAACGCTCCCCGATACTGGCCTGTTTTGCCAGCTTCTTGCTCACACTTCTGATGTGTTGCAAAAATGGGGGCCTGCAGGAAGCTGTCCAGGGCTGTCCCCCCGCGATGGGGATGTCTAGAGCCYGGGAGCGCCGGGAATCACGGACTTCCAAGTGTCTCCGTCTTTCAGCCTGCTCTTTTGTGCCATAACATGTATCTTTTACCCAGGGGTGAGGGTTGTTAGAGGCTTCGAGAGCGCAGCTCCTTCTCATGTACCGATGATGACAAACTGCCTGTTGTTCTCCGGTGGGCTTGGTAGGGGCTACGGCATAACAAAATATCCAAGGTCCACCTTTGCTTTAAGCAGATGCATTTCTATCTGCGGGAATAAGAGTTATTTCACTTATTGGCATAGCTGGACAGTTATCTCTTTCTTTCTGTTACCAAGGTACTTGTAACTCTCTTGCACTGTTTATCTAAAGTTGAAATATGTTCTTTGAATCCTTGTATAAATAAAAAGGCTGGAGACTTAAGTCTGTAGTTACAGGGCTGTTTTATTTCTTATACTGAGAGTATAAGGCTTTTCCCTTTTGTTTTTTTCCTCTCTAAGTCATGGATAAAGGCCAGGTCAGTAGCCCTGAAGAGGGATACCTTGCTTTAAAACAGAGGGTTTGTAGAAGCATAGTGAACATATTTGGAGTATGAGTTTGCCCTGCAATCAAACCTGTATAATATGGACCAAAACTGCTGGGATTTGCTGGATGTGGAAACCAGATGAGTCTAACTTCAACTCATCAAGGCAGGTGTGCAAGTTCATCTGCCTACAAGCAAATATCACTTAGATTTAATAAATTGAGCAATAGCCTTGAGTCAGTAGGCTTTTCGTTAGTGTAACGTCCTGCAGTTGCAGGTATTTATTTGTGACGCACAAATTTATATCAGTGCAGATAAGCTTACAAATGTTAAGCCAGTTGACTTCCCAGGCAAAAGATGGGGGTTATTTGCAACTGGAAATTATAATCATGGCAGATGTTAGTGAATTAGGAGTTAACGGTGAGTTTAATAACATGTTATTATGAACTAATGCTTACAGAAGACACAGGACTTGAAGACAGTTATTATTATTATGGCATTGCATGTCTCTTTCTTTATCATATATTGCATATTGCTTTCCTTTCCAATATCACTGTGCCTCACAGGGGGCTCTTGCCACGTTGCCGCTGCTGGAGGTGCAGCAAAGGAGCAGCCCAGTCTGAAACCAGGGCTCACTCTTAATTAGAGACCCTACGAGACCACACCTGGTAAGTAATTTACTCCCTCCAAGAGAGCAATGGACCTGGCGCGATTACTTTGGATGGAGCTGCATGGGTTTTACCACCATTTCAGCACATGCCTCGTGCACACAGGGTGACAAGGGCATCATAAAGTGCTGCCATCAGCTTTTCTTTCTAAAGTTTCCCGATGGAGGGAGCAGGGCCGGGTGCCCACGACGCAGCCCCGTGCTCGAAGCCCTAACCCTCAGGTAAGCAAGGAGAGCGGCTGAGCCCAGCTATACTGCCAAKACAGACCATTTCCTGGCTAGTAAAAGGATTTTTGTTGCGGGGAAAGGTAGGTAGATCTATTTTTTGTCCTTTATTATCCCTATTTTCTCTCCTTGCAGAGGCAGCCTGTGGACTTCCGTGTGGTYCCCCAGGCCATCTGTGTGCAGGAGGCCGTGGGGCCCTGTGGGTCTTTGTACAGCTGCCCAAGGCCACCATAGAGACAAGTATGGGAGAGGCTCTGCAGGCCTTCGTGCGGCCTCCMCGGGCCTCAATGTGCTCGTGGCCTCAGGGGTGATCCAGGCCTTTGTGGAGCCTCCCTAGGCCTCCRTGTGGACCTGATCGACGGAGCTGAGAGGCGTCGACCATGGTGAGCGTTCCTATCCCAGACTGGCAAATAGACGAGGGGGTGGTGAAAAGTCCATATCATCTTCCTCATGGCAAGAGGCAGAGGGGCCGSAGGGCGATGCCGGCTTCACAACATYCCCGTTGCAGTCACCACGTCCTCCTCCTTGGAGCCTGCAGCCTCCAGCAGGGAAATCTCTTTTTCCCTCTCGTTCCACCCATTCCCACCTCCACCTTGGGCCTTTTGGAACTTTCTGTGGATTTCTTTCCCCTCTCCAAAGCATAAAGCTGCCCCAGTTCACCCCAGTGAACCCCGGAGCACTCAAGTCCAAACGTTTCYCCCAGTGCAATCCCCCTCTCGCTGCCAAAGTTTTCCCAGCGGGAAAAGCAAAGCACTTGATCCCAGCAGGAGCAACTGCAGAGGCTCTGCCAGGGTAAGAGTGAGGATCCTGATCAGATGCAACTCGAAGGACCTGTCCAGAGCTGCACAAGGAACAGGGAGGACTCAATCCCATGGCCCTATTCTGCCCACCATCTCCCCCAGGAAGCTCAAAAGTGCTTAGGAAGCCAAAGGCAGAYGGATGCTGGAGGCTGCAGGTCCCCTGGGACCCCAGCAAACTCCCCAGCATTGGCACCACAGGGGTGTGAAAGGAAAATATGGGAAAGAGGGGAGGAGAACAGGTAGGGGAAGGAAGAGGCAGGCAGGGAATGGTGCGTCCCAGAGCCTGAAAGGGAGATGAGAAGGCAGCAGAGGTGGCAGACTTTTCAGGCTGCCACACCGTGTTGACAAAGGTGACAGAAACCCACGGATTGCAGAGGGATAGTCCTTGGAGAGTCAGTCCCACAGTCATCTTGGTGCTTCAGCACCTCCTCGCTGACAGGGTAAGGAGGGAGACACGGCTCTTCATCCGCATGCTGAGGAGGCCAGGAGACATCAGGAGACAGATGGAGCTGAGGATGGAGAGAAGCAGCCCCTTCCTGCAAGGAGCCAAAGTTTGTTCCTTTTGTTTTCCTTTTTTCTTTTTTTTTTTTAATAGCAATATTGTTTGCCCCCTAAAGAATGCAGGGGGAAAGAATCTCAGAGGCTTGGTGATAACTATTATTTTTACTTGCATTTCTAAGGTCCCTCTCGAAAACGTAGGGTATAAAGTTTGTGTCAGAAAAAAAAAAGAGCCTATCTTAGCGAAAAGACAGCAGTAGTTTGGGCTATGTATGTCATCCATACGCTGCTAGAGGCTTGCATTGCACTTCCATCGGAGTCCTCAGTTAAGTTCCATGTTCTGTCTGAAAAACAGAGGTGCCACCAGTGCAAAGCGGAGGCACTTCTGAGCTTTCCACCAGGAGGCCATGGGTCTCCTTGGGACATTTCCCTCTCAAAAACAACTCGCCTGGAAGCCCCTTTTTCTCAGTAAGGCTTACAAACACGTGTAAGGGAAGAGAACTGAATTTCGGAACCCCCTCGGGCAGCAGAGTCCTTAGCATCACGCCAGATGGATACCCACCACCACCTGCAATGCTCCTCAGCACCCTGAGGCAGCAAGGAGAGGGGCTGTGCGGGGGCTCCACCACCCAACAGGCTGCTGATAGCAGCGGTCCCRAGGTGCTGGAGCCCCAGGGAGGGCTGCAAGGACCCCCCTGCTCTCCTACGTGCCATCAAGCAGAGTCTCCCGCTGCATCGCGTCCCTCCTGTGTGCCCCCTGAATCAAATCCTTGTAGGTCGTGGGGCAGTAGGTTTTGTACAGCTTTTCCGCCAGCGTGTTGCTCCCCGCCACCACYGCTTTCTGGTTACGGTTCATGAAGTTCCACAAGTGCAGCGCGTAGGAGTGGTTGAAATTAGGGTTTTTGTTCCACACCTCATAGTACTTTTTCCAGGCCGGGTATGGGATAGGGTAGAAACGCTGAGGGTTCAAGAAGGAGATGTTCTGGCAGCTGTGGTCCTCAAGGCCCACAAAATCCGTGAGGTTACAAATGGCTTTTAGCATCCTGGTCATTAGAAAGGGTCCCTGGTTGCCCCAGATTTTCCCGTTGTACTTGAGAACAAAATTATTCATGCAATCCCAAACAAACTTGTGATAGGAAGGAAAGCCAAAGATGCCGTTGCTGGAGAACTGGGACTTCTGCGCCGCCAGGAAGCTTGCCTCCGGAATGGGCCGGATGGAGATGACGTCCGTGTCCATGTAGATGCCCCCGTATTTCCAGATGAGCGCCAGCCTGCTGGCGTCCGAGCTGATGTGAACCCAATTCTTCTCCTGCTCCGGATTGACCTGCAAGGGTGGGAGACACAAAACGGTGACGCTGCTGAGGGAGAGCTCTCCCCTCCTCTGTCCTGTTGACTGCTCTGTGAAACCCAACCCAGCACCTATAAATGTCAGCAACGCTCTCTTCTTCCCACAGCTATTAAATTTTATAGGAACAACATAACGGAGGGAGGCTCAGAACAATGATTTTATAAATATAAATGAGTGCAAGAGTGTTTTACGCATTTTTTTTCTTTTCTGTTGAGGAAACTCGGAATGTTAAATCAACAGTGCTATGAATCACGGGCTGCTGTTTCAGCTGGACACAACCCATTTAACACACTCRCTGCCTTGATCCTCGCGGCTCTTTGAAGCAGACTGAAGGGCTTTCAGTGGCTTTGCTATTTATTTGGTGTATTTTCTTTTCTGAGGACTTGCAAGGGCTTGAGGAAACCCCTCAAGCTTGTCCTGCACATAGATAGAGCAGAACAACCTTCCCAAGCCCGACTTAAAAGCAAGTTGCAGAGAAGCTTGTTTTTTGGGTGGACCAGGAAAGATCCTACCCATGGTTTTGCCCCTGGTCTTTATGAAACCTGGAATCTCTCTGCCATCTAATCTGGCATGGGCTTTATCGGTGCATGACAGCGCTAACGAGCACTCCAATGACTTGGACAGCACATTTCATTAAACAAGCATCTGTTGAACTAGGTGATTAACCGATGTTTTATCGACATATGTACGCAGTATATTTTTGCCAGAGTTGTGTGTGTCAACGCTCTGATTCTCCAGATAGCGAAAAAAAAWACTGATAATATGTTCAGTACAGAAAGAGAGAGGAACATATTGCAACTTGTGCCCAAATGCTCCGTTCTGAGCAGAATAAAGCAAAATGACTGTGATTTCATATAGTTGCTCAAGCCCTCAATGCCCCTTCTCCTCTGTTGGTTTTAAGCCCAGTTCAGAGCGGTCTTCCCCACAGTGTAACTC